CGCCCATTGGCCGCGCGAGTGTGGGAAAGAGCGCGGAGCCGGGTTCACACGCCGGGCGGCGCGGCCTTACGCAGCCGAGCGGCGGGCACTGCACGCGGGCCGGGACGGAAGACCCCGCCAGAGGCGCCTGCCCATTTCCCCGCGGGTTCCCCGGCGGCGCGCTGCGCCCAGCACGAGAAGCGCGGAGCCACCATGCCCGCGGAACCTCTGGGGAAGCCCAGCGCCTCGCCACGAGCCGGAGCGCCCGCCAGCGCCCACAGGACCCCGGATAAGCCCCGGAGCGCGGCCGAGCACCGCAAGGTGAGAGGAGGGCTGGGCGGGGGTGGAGTGGGGGCGGACGCGGGACTCAGCCTCTGCCTGCACCCCCCAGTCCTCCAAGCCGGTCATGGAGAAGCGGCGCCGAGCGCGCATCAATGAGAGCCTGGCGCAGCTCAAGACCCTCATCTTGGACGCTCTCAGGAAAGATGTAAGCCACGGGCTGGGGCGGGGGGCGGGGTCCAGACGCGGGACCCCAGGTCCGAGGTATAGCCGTCTGTAGCTCCCACCCACTGTTCCTGCCCGCAGAGCTCGCGCCACTCAAAGCTGGAGAAGGCGGACATTCTAGAGATGACTGTGAGACACCTGCAGGGCCTGCGGCGGGTACAGGTGACAGGTGAGCCTCTGACAGCAGGTGTGGGGAGGGCACACGGGGTCCACGGTGGGTACCGACCACCTCTCCTCCCGCAGCCGCTCTCAGCGCCGACCCTGCGGTCCTGGGCAAGTACCGCGCCGGCTTTAACGAGTGTCTGGCGGAGGTGAGCCGATTCCTGGCTGGCTGCGAGGGCGTCCCCACCGACGTGCGCTCCCGCCTGCTCGGCCACCTGGCGGCCTGCCTAGGCCAGCTGGGGTCCTCATGCCGCCCGGCCCCTGTGACCCCCGCTGCCGAGACTCCGGCGTCTGAGGTCTATTCCGGCTGCCCACTGCTGCCGGCCCTTGACAGCGCCCTCCCTCTGCTGCACTCCGGGGCTCCCTTCTCGCTCCTACCAGCCTTCACCAACTCAGGTCTCACGCCAGTAGCAGGCCTGACCCGGGCGCCCCCTCCCGCCCCCCGACCGGGGATGCAGAGCCGGGAGGCGCCCTGGAGACCGTGGCTGCGGTGAGGATGCAGCCCTCGGACTTCTGGGGCTCCCACCCCTACCCCTTACTGAAAGGTATCCTGAAAATATTTATTACTAGAGGCTCTGTTCAGATTGGTTGTATGTGTGTGTTTTTTGTTTTGTTTTTTGCTTTGTTTTTGAAATGAGAAATTTGTAGAAGACTGTTGTTTAGTTTGGTAGCACGGGAAACCCTCTGCATATCTAGCAGATTTCAGCTGACATCTCTGTTTACCGCCTACCCCTCCTCCCTTACCTCTGAACTGGGGGACATGCCACGTGTAGGGTCCTTACATCACCCTGCAGAAGGCTTTAGGGGCAAAACTGCAGGCAGACTAGTCCCCAGGCCCTGCCTCCCTCCCCTCCTGCCTGGTCCCTCTTTCCACCTGCTTCTGCATCTTGGGTGGGATAGACCCACAGGTTGAGTTATTGGTGTCTGTGCTGAAGTCATTGACTAGACTTGGGGTGAGGGATCCCCTGAGAGCCCTGGAGGAAGGTGACAGCCACAAAGTTGCCTCGAATGTGCCTTCTGAGGCAAAACAGAATCACTAGGCCAGTTGTTTTTGAAGACACTCCCCACTCGGCGGATCCCGATGGGGGAACACTCGCACTTACATCCCTCAGGCCGCACTGGGATGAGAGTGCATAGGATGAGATGCTTCCTTTTATGTGGTCCAGGTCCCACCTCATTTCTTCTCATGACTTGGTATGAACCCTCTTGGCCTGACCCAGTGGAACTAGAGCCCAGAGCCAGGATCACACCTCCCCAGGAAGGGACACTGTTGGGAGAGCATGCAAGCTGTGAGTGCCAGCAGCTACCCAGCAGCCTGAGACTAAAGCCCTAAACCAAGCCTGGAGTCCTCATCCTGTCACCACAGACCCCTCGAGCTGCTCTAACTTGCAGCAGAGATGATCTGGGTTGAGGATCTGCAAAGGGTCCCACTTGGAGTAAGGGGCTTTTCTGGGCCTGGCCTCTGGAGGGGAGGAGGGTGAATGACCTGGGAAGATGCAGGTCAACCCACTTGATGCCCCATTCATGCACCACTGGACACGGTGAACACCAGCAGAGTCCCTGTGTCTTCCCAGTTTAGTCCTGCTTCCAGGGAAGCTTCAAAGGAGACACCCACCTCTGGGTCCCCGTCACCAGGTGGGAGGGAGGGGAAGGTGTTGATGGGGGCTTGGAGAAGGGACACTCACCCCTGGAAAGCCTGGAAAGCTGTTTGGGGGGGGGGGAGCTAGGGCTTTAGACGTGAGTTTCTGGTCTCACAGAAGCTGGGTGCTATGCAGGAGGTTAAGGCCCTCAGAGCCAGGTCCTACACCTTCTACAGGGAAAAGAGGGACATCTCCACCTGGCTAAGGAGATAAGGCCAGAGAACCCCCCAGCATGTAGATGTGCCATTGGTGATGCATGCTCTTTCTCCTCCAGGAAGAGGACAGAGACCCCTTTAACTAAAGACCCCTGGCCACCCGTCCCTCCAGTTCTTGTCCCCTGTGATCTGTTCTCACTGTGGCCAAAAGCATCTTTGCTGGAACCCTGCTCAGCCCTCCAGGGACCTATCAGGCTCTGAGGTGAAGGAAGCTCTCCCTTGGGTCCTCTCTAAGACCAGTGAAATCGCCCCAGTCCCCAGTGGGGACTCTGGTCTCACCCCCAACAGGTACTTTCGTAGGATCTCTTGCTGGAGGAGTTATCCCCAGAAATTATACTGCTTTCCCTCTGCAGGGGGTCTTTTCCTACCTTTCCCATGCTCTTCCTGTTTCCTGCCTCAGGGTGGGTGGGCTCCAGAGTAATTTCTTGGAGCCCCTTCCCCTAGTTATTTTCCTCATGGCTCTTGTCACGTCTAATGATTAATAGAACCACCTTCCCCAGGCACTGATGAGGGTGGGGGGAAAATCTTGACTCTCCTGTGAGACTGAGAATTTGGAGAGAGGGTCTGCTCTGTGGGCCTCTGTCTGTCCCTTCCCCTTGGGCCACAGTCATCTGTAGCGGAGTGCCTGGTTGGTATGGATGCCATTCCACATCTGCTGAGCTCATGGGCTGGTCAGCGACTGTGACTTCTCAGCTTTGTGTGTCAGTCTTTAGCTGGCTGGACACGGAGCTGTCACAGCTAAGCCACAGCAGCAAAACATAAATGGAAACAAAAGGCATTGAATCCCTTGAAGTTTTGGCACTAGTGGTAAGGCTGGGACTGCTGGAGGCTGGGTGAGATGGGACTTCTCCTTTGATTCACCACTCCACTGGGCACTGCCTCCCCACCTTCACCCCTGCCTCCTGCACTGTCTCCTTTTATTGAGGAGGAAGCTGAACCTAGAAGGTTCCGTACCAGGCTGCCCTCTCTTTGGTCCCTGGAGCCCTGGAGACGACTCTCATCCTCAGGGACACTAGAGATGGACAAAGAAACAGAGCTGGTGTCAGAGTTCCCCAGATGGACCCAGTGCCCTGCCCTCATAGTGGTGACACCTTCTAAATGTACCGAGATTGACTGAGTGACCAGTCAGGTCCCACAGAGGTGATAGCCAGAGTTGCCTGGGATCGCATGCTGTGCACCAGAAGTTGGGGATGGAGCATGTGGTTTAGGTAGGAACATCCTTTAGTCATGATCAGAGCAATGATGTCCGCCTGAAGACTAAGGTGCACCTGATTCAGGCCATGGTGGTTTTAGTCACCTGCTAAAAGAGAGCTGCCCTGAGAGCTGGAAAGTGAATAAGGATGACAGGAGAAGAATGATGTTTTTGAGCTGTGGTGCGAGAGAATACTGAGTATCCTATGGACTACCAAAAGCACAAACAGCTATGTCTTGGAAAAAGTCCAGCCAGAGTGGCCCATGGAGGCAAAGATGATGAGACTTCCTCTCTCATAATTTGGGCGTCTTGCTAGGAGAGGCTGGCCTTTGGAAAGGGACATCATTCTTGAAGTGATGGGTGGTCAGTGTAGAAGAAGAAGACCCCCAACGAGATGGATCGACACAGCAATAGGCTCAAGTTTGCCAGAGTTGATGAGGATGGCAGAGGAAGGACAGGGTTCAGGTCTATTGCTCATAGGGTACCAATGATTCGTACTCAATGGCACCTAACAACAACAACTTAAAGGTCTGTGGCAACTCTCATTCTGCATCTGTACTGATCTCTGCCTGTTTCTGTCTTTTTTTAAAATCACTCCCTTATCTCTGATACCATCTCTCTATATATCCCTTGACACTGTTGTTGTTGTTGTTATGTGCCATCGAGCCTGCAACTCAGTGACTCTACATAAATAAGCTCTGAAAGCTGCCCTATCCTGTGTCAATCTCCCCATCTCCAACAGACCTAACCCCATCACTTCGGTGACTGAGTCAATCCATCTCATCCTGGGTCTTCCTCTCCTACACTGACCCTCTACCATTCCAAGCATGATGTCCCTCCCCAAGGACTGGTCCCTCCTGGCCACTTGCCCAAACTATGTGAGACAGAGCTTCAGAATCCTTGCCTCCAGGGAGCAGCTCAGTTTCATCCTCTCCAGAACAGACTTGTTTGTTCTCCTGGTGGTCACGGTAAGTTGAACATTCTTCTCTAGTGCCACAACTCAAAAGCATTGATCTTTCTTCTGTCATCCTTAGTTATTGTCAAGCTCTTGGATGCATAGCAAGTAATTGCGAAGACCATGGCCTGGATCAGGTGCTCATTAGTCTCTAGACTGACATTGTTGCTCTTCAGTACTCTAGAGAAGTTCCTGTTAGCAGACTTTCCCAATCAAAAGACAAATTGCATTTCAGACAGCTGGACAATGACTAAGGGTGAAAGAGGAAGAATTGATGTCTTTGAGTTGTGGTGCTAGAGAAGAGTATTGAACATACTTTGAAGGACCAAGAGAACAAACAGGTTTGACCTGGAGAGAGTGAAACCAAGTTGCTCCTGGAGGCAAAGATTTTGAGGCTCCATCTCACATACTTTGGACATGTTGCCAGGAGGGGACCAGTCCTTGGAGAAGGCGTCATGATGGGAAGAATGGAGAGAGAGCACAGGAGAAGGAGACACCACATGAGAAGGATTGACACAGTACCTGGGGTCAGGACTGACACAGTAACTGGGGTAATGGGGGTAAGTGTGTCAGAGACAGTGAGACTGGCTCAGGACAGGGCAGGATTCAGAGCTGTTGCACATGGGATCACTAAGAGTCACAGTAGACTCAGTGGCACATAACAACAAACAACAACTCAGCTATGTGGTAAAAATCAAAGCTAAGCTAGAAAAAAAAAGGAGAAAACCCATCTGGCCTACAACGCACACTGTGTGTCTGTTTCTATTTCTGTGTGTCTCTGGCTTTCTGGGCCAAGGCAGCCGCTCTCTGGCGATTCAAATCCACCAGCGATACCACAGGAGAAAGATGGGCAGTGTATGATCTACAGCGCCCCCAAGGGTCAGCCATGTGTCACTTCCAAGTTGATGACCATGAATTTCTGTCTGTCTCACATCATCTGCTCTGTGGAAGCCAGCTGTCCGTTACAAGGAGGCTGATGGCATGTGGCCTAAAGGCCTCTTGCAAGAGCAATCAGTATAAGCTTGAAAGCACCTCCCCTAGTCCCAAATGAGCCTTCAGACAAGACAGCAACCCTGGTTACCATCCTGACAGTGTCAAGAGTTCTGAGCCAGCCCCGTTCAGCCAAGCTGCTCTCAGATTCCTGAACCTCAGATCCCAGTGTTCAGAAACCCTGTGAGGTGGTAAATGTGTTTTAACTACTACATTTTAGGCTCATTTGTTACTCAGCGTGAATGACAACTTCAGATCTCTTCCTGCCCTGTAGAGTACTAGAAATTGGGGATGGAGGTTGTGGCTTTCATAGGAGCAGCCTTTAGTAGCAACAGTGGAGCTGGCCTAGTATCCTGACTGCCCTTCATTCCTGCCCAGTAGTGTGTGAACTTGTCCCGGAAGTGGCTTCCTGGCAATCTCTTGTCCAGATTAGCGGTGACAGGAAGACCCTTTAGTTCAACCTCTTGTGAGCTTGGTATCTCAGTGACACACAGACACCCTC